ATTATTTTCCTTTTTCAATTTTGAACAAAAAGAAGTGCAACAACCACTAACAATCTACTCTGAACAAATGCCCCATTGTATTTTTGAGTGGGAACCTCATCTGTTACAATCAATTCATAAAGAAAATATATGTCCAATGATTTATGTTCCAATTGAGAGTACAATAATTCTAACATGTTGCTAATCTTATTGTTTTTGTTTATGTATTTGAGCTCAAGTTTTATTAATATCATTATCCTCATCATCCACACCTTATCTCAAGTATTTAATATTGGTTATATGAATCTTATTATGCTATTCTGTTCTATCAACGGCCATACTCTCACTTAAGCTATAAGTCACCATATCTCTTCTTATTGTTTTTATCTATGTTCTTTTGAACCTTCCTTTTACCCTTTTGAAACTTTCCACTTGAACGAGACTCTCCTTCCTAAACGATGTTGTATTTCAGCTCAATTCTTTGCTCAGATAAGTGAAACGCTTGCTCATAAGATAGTCTGGATCACGTTTCGCAGTTTTGCAAATGCGAGATAGCAAGTGGCACGTGTAAGGGATGATTCTATTATTCTAGTTCCAATCCTGATATTAGCTTTTAAAAAAAAAATGTAATCGCTAAATAATCATTCCCAATAAATAAAATACTTGAAGGGCGTGGTTTTCATAAGGTTGCAACCTTAAACAATCTAATTAAGGTTTATCATAATATATAATTTTGATGTAAAATATTCTTAGGATTATCTCAAAATCTATTTTCATATCTAAGTATAAAATTTTAAATTTCAAAAATGGTTAAAATCAAGTAGATCTATAAATATATGAAAATATTTAAAATAGACAGTCTAGATAATGTCGTGTAAGATGCACTATTTCTGGTACTCAAAATCCTTTATTTTCATAGTCATACATCTTGATATTGAGATGACCAATTAGAGGGCTTTTCAATATTAAAACAATATTTTCCGATGGATTTTTGAGGTGCATCCGTAGTTCTAAATTTTAAGGTTGCAACTTTATATAAACTTTTTCTATACTTAAATTTTGTGGATTAGGAATGCGGAAATAGGATCGAGAGAATTGTTTTCTTTATGTGTGTATGTACATCCAAAAACTTCAATCCTACATTCAGAAGAATATAAAGTTTTATATAAAGAAAACATTTATATAAGGGTGAGGCCCTAAACAATGAAATTAAGGTGAACTTAAAAAATTCACTAGAAGAGGTTGTTTCGATACCCAAAAATCATCAAATCAATCATCTCGACCTCAATATGTATGGATATAAAAAAAAATAGATTTCAAGTATTGGAAATAATGCATCTTGTAGTGCATTTTCTAGACTGTAAATTTTTAAGATTTTCAAGTGTTTATAGATTTGCTCGATCTACACTATATTTCAAATTTTAAACTTTATTACTAGATACGAAAATAAATTTTCAAGCCATCTCAAAAATTCCTAGTACTAAAACAACATTTTTCGATACTATTTGAAGGTCCCTTAGTGTGATTATTAAGGCCCTCAACCTGACCACACCCTTTGTAGAAACATGTTAAGTTTTTATTAAAGGAAAAGTTTCCCTTTTAAAATTAAATATCTTATAATTTCGAATTAATTATAGAAAAAGGTACTCATTGTAAGAAGATTTGAAATTTTATAGGATTGAAAGTTAGGTCACTCTTTAGCTCCCACTTTGTAGGGTTGTTCTCACAAAGTGCCCTTCCATAAGGTCACTTTTTTGATGGGGTGGAGTAGACTGCCACATATCATGTCCTTACCTTACGTAGAACAGATATATTCAAGAGAAAGGTGTTCTCCTTTTCTACACTACTAGGCATCTAATAAAAATTAGTTTTGTATTCTATCAAAAAAAATAAAAATTAGTTTTGTAGCTACGATGTGTTGATACTTGCAAAGGGCTCCTGAATCTGTCGAATACCGTGAAAGAGATATGCTGTCCAATACCGTCAAAGAAATATGTGAAGAGTGTGTATAGCATGCTCCCGTGAGAGTATATTGTCTAACGATTCCCGCCGGAATAATAATTATTTGGGAGGATTTTTTTTATGCAAAATTTTGCAATCTATCTAAGTATCAATAGATGATTATTATTTTTTTTAAAAAAAAGGATTTTGAGTCATTGAACCCTTAGATCTTTCCCCTCCTAAAATTGGACTCATGGGATTTTTTTATTTAGGTGGGGGAGTGCCAGATTTTTTTTTATTATTTTTTTTGAGTTGGTCGCTTGGCTCTAAAGATTTCCTCAAAATTTAGGATCTAAAAAACATTCCTAGCATGAATTTTGCGAGAGGGAATAAATGGGCAGTATACTCTGGTGGGAGTATGAAATCTTTTGGTAATACTGCAATGCCAAGAACTTGATGGCATAAACAAATGGAAAAGGTTTTTATACTTCCTCTACGGCATAGAAGATCTATGCTCTCCTTACCATCCAGCTGTCCAATTTTGATCAAGAGAGCCACTCATCGTTTGATCTTAGATTCGACATCTCAAAGTTTTTTATTTTTAGTTTTCTTTATACAAATTGTATGAATATGAAATTTGGTAAGTGCAAACTTCTCATTGGGGCTCACCTATAAAAAATATTAAAAATAATTTTTTGATAAAATATAATGACCAAAGTACCCCTTGAAACTTTCAAACGTATTTTGGTCATTTTATTTTATTAGAAATATGTTTTTTATAATTTCCGCTAGTGCGAGTTTAATAGATGATTGGACGAACAAAATTTGGTGTCAAAATAGTTTATAGAAAAAAATTAAAAATAAAATAGTATAGAGACGTGATATTGTGATTGAGGCAATCTTAACTCCCCATTCAAGATGGACGGCTGGAGTCAAGGATATAAGTTTTATGTTGTAGTAGAAGTATAGAAAGCTTGCTCTAAACAAATTGCTATGTAGTAGATAATGACTTTGGATGATTTTTAATAGAAATCCAAAAGTTAGATTGATTGGGATTCATGACCGACTCTCTCTCTCTACCCTTGTCAACAAACGCTTTGACTAAATCACGTGCAAACTTTTGTAGATAGAGCTACCAAATAAAATGATAGCTACGGCCAACTACTGATCCATAAAGTAATGTTTAAGAAGTCCTACCCACTAGCTCCTGAAATCTACTGTCTGGTGCTGTATTTGACGCCTTTTTATTTTTGTTTTTTTTTGGGGGGGGGGGGGTGTTTAATGTTAATGTGTTGCTCTCAAACACTAGCTCCTCAAGTGTCAATGTGTTACTGTTCCATTAACGTTCTAGCATTTTGTAAAACTGCCTGAGGCCTATGTTGTTTTCAATCCAATCGTAGATGTTATGCTCTCTCTATATGAATGAGCAAAAATCGCTGGTTTACTACAGTAGAGGCTTCTAATCTCATTCGATATAGGGCCTAAAGCCAAAGGTCCATTGTTCTACCACAGCTGAAGCCTCGAATCTCATTCGGTATGGGCCTAGAGCCAAAGGTCCGATATTCTTCCACTTTATAACATTCAAAGGATCCCCTTCAATATTAATAATCTAACAATTTCAATTCATGGGTTTTAGATCTTGCGACACTGTTTGACCTCCAATCTCTTTATGATTGAGACCCGAGTTGGCCGTTAAGTGAACAAAAAATGGCACCACTATGACCTATAAGCAAAATCCCCTAATTGACTATAGACCCAGGTTTCTTAAAGAGCTTTCATCAAAATTTGACTTGACACTACCCCACTGGTGGGGACATCCATGTACGAGCTCTCTGCCTCTTCTTGTCTCCTAGTTTTGCAACTTCTCGCAAGTTACATCCATGTACGAGCTCTCTGGCTCTTCTTGTCTCCTAGTTTTGCAACTTCTCGCAAGTTGTAAAGTGGACCATTTCCGGTATTCCCACCTCTTTTCTAACTGAAGCCAAATCCGCAACTGATACCTGATTCTCTCTTTCTCTATCTACCAAAGCAACTTGTATTTGTCTCCTTCTATCTATAGCACCTTGTATTTGTCTCCTATATATATTGCATATTGCAGCCCTTGTAATATTTCAAAAGGACCTTCCTTTTGAAGCTGGTATGGTCAAATGGCAAATTTTGACAAGCAGACCTAAGTATTGCATTTGCAGGTGAAACATTTTGCACAGCCCATTTCCCCAGTGTTGTAAGACCTCTGGTTTCCTCATCCTCTTTGGCAGGCATTCATACCTTATGGTAGGACAAGAGTAGACGGTTTGAGAACTTGCCATCTGAATCAACTTCCAAGATTACCTCATCACTACTATTAGGACAGTAAATATACTTGGTCTGCATCAGTACTTATATTGCCTAATTACTGAGGCATTCTGTTGCACATGCACAAGATTGACAGTTAGTAATACAAACTGTTCCAGAAATCATATCCCTCGCTTTGTGTAAAAACAATGGAAAAAGGTTAACGATCTTCTTTGCTTGAAAATAAGTAGGATAAGAAAACAAGGATCAGCAAGAGTGAAATTTGAACCAATGACCAAGGATGCAAGCATAAAAACTTTTAAAATAGGGTAACAACCCAAAGTCTCAATTCTAGCTTGGAGATATCAAAGAAGCAAAAAGTTGTCAACATCAAGAAGGAATGCAAATATTAAGCTGCATTTGCAATTGGCTGTGGAATCTATAAACTTTCTTAAAAAACAATACTTGCAGTGCTCGACATTGACTGCAGGAAGAGAACTTTGAAAACTGTATTGGAGACAAGAAACCAAAAAATAAAGCAGATTTTTGACAACTTTTGTATTGGAGACAAGAAACCAAAAAATAAACACGGGATGCATGCTCGACATTGATAGATGGAAGAGAATTTTGAAAACTGCACATTACCACATACAATATCCTAAGTGTACATTAAGCATAATTCTAATGAGCAATTGATTCCCTTGGACCAAACTTTGCTTAAACGCAAAGAGTTAAAAGAAACTGAAAGGATTAAAGAAGCTCTTTTAAACTTAAAAGAGTAGCATTGTCAATGAATGCTAACCTCATGCAACCAACTTGGACATGGATAGAGATGAATACAACCACAATACACAAAATTATACATACATAGAAGCTCAAGTTATACAGAGAACAAGCTCCTTGATATAATAATAGTTATAACAACTTTATATACGAGATGATACCAGGCTAAGCACAAATTGTTTCTACACACTACCAGCCCAAGCAATCAGTGCTACACAAATTCGAACTGCATAAGAAGCTTTACTGACTTTAATTTCTCTCCTTTCTTGTCGAATAGGGGAACTGCTCGGATACCAGGCCTCAGTTCCGATACAGGCAAACAGTTCTGACCACCAAAGTCATCTTTCTCAGACATGTCATACTCGTGCACCTCTATCCTCAACAAAGCTAGCTCTGGAACGGTTAAGGGGAAAGAGAACTCCTCATTCCAAACAGGTGACCAATCATCTTCGATCGCCTTTGTCTTCTTCATTATGTTATCAGCTGGCACACCAGCTATGCCAACCTGTCCATTTGATTAATCTGTTAGCTTCATTTTTTGATGCAAAACCAGTGTTAAATTGCAGTGGTACACAAAATTATACAAATAAGTAAAGGGAAAGCATATCATAGTCCAGCTATGGCATGCACACACACATGCATGCAAACACAGAAATATTACTATTTCAAATTGATGTTTGTTCCATGTAAATACGCTTTGATTGTCCTCAAATCGATTTTCATTTAAATAGCTACAAGTAGCAGATACCAATAGGGTAGAATGGAGTGGCTATGCCACGAAAACAAACTCAAGAGTGGTCACCTTCTTACCTTTGTATAGAAATCAGGGGGAGAGTATGTGTCAAAGTGTGTCTGGTCAAAGTCCAAGCGCCATCCATCCCCCATATATACTTTGATCTGATAACATCAAAGAAGCAATGGGCATCATTACAAACTTTAATGATACTTAAGCGATTAAACCAAGTGCTGGCTAAGAAATACCTTCAAGGTCTTCTTAACTGGATGCTTTTGCTTAGGGTTGAAAACATTATCATCTGGACCATTTGACAGCAGAAAATCAGGTTTCTTAACATATCCACACCCTCCATTTGCTCTAAAAAATCCTTGCATCAACCACAGCGATCTGCCATACCCCTGGAAAATGAAAACAACCAAGTTGACCACATTATTCACAGGGGGTCCTCCAAGATAACATTTCCTCAAGGTTATCAAGTTTTCAAACATTAATCTGATCTAAGAAGAGCCAGTCCAGCTGGCAGAAATTATTCTAGTACCATCTTTTCTTTGAGAAATGGCTTCTTCATTAATGCGATTCTTTTTCTCGCTTTATAATCAACAGTTGTACATATGAGAATCAGTTACACATGTATGTATAAATGGCACATCAAGTTCTTACGGCAACCGCTCGAGTTTAACTCAAACTAACGTTTCTGAGGGAATAATAATTAAGATGCAAAGGTTTTTGTGATCTATAATAAGGGAGAATGGAGAACCAAAAAAGGTTCCTTAAGTAGGGGAAAGTATGAAACTGAATCATTGAGGGAATAACCGTGACCATCCAAACATGAAATTTCGTGTGTAGTGTACTTCTAACTGATCAATAACTGGCAATTTAATCCTTCTAGAGTCAAATATCTAACAAAATGATTATAAATGTGTCTGTTACAAAACATTTTGTTTAAACAGTGTCCGATGACGTTGCTTGTTTGGAAGTTGATGGCACTCTGTTTTCACGAAGTGATCAATAAACAATACTGTTTCAAATCATAAAAAGCTATTTAAGTTATTGTTTGAAGTGATTAAGTAGCATTGTTCAAAGTAATTTTTAAGAGAAGGATCTGACGATATCAAATGGCATCATTTCGTAAAACTTGGAATGGAACAAATTGATGGTTTAAAAACTTACCGATGTTTCACTTGCATATCTCAATAACTGATCTTTATAATTTGAATCAGACATTTTGTAGTCATGAAAATCACATCCCAAAGTAAATGTTGTCATGAAGATGGAGTTATGTTCTGAATGGAACTCGAATTCCAAGAACCACAAAGATCGGTTCAAGTGATTTCCAGAAGAATGGTTTAATTGGAAATGGAAATTGTAGAAATGGAGAACTAACCTAGCTGCGGATGTGCTACCGCTAAGGCTAAAGTGGACCATATAAATTTAAGATAGAAAATCTACTCAAATGCCCAAAATCATTCCTCAAACCGTGATTAGAAGAAAAAGACAGAGGTAACCTGCATATTAAATGCAACCATCTGAGCTCCATGGGTCCATCCAATTAATGGATTGTAGTTGGAGGAGTCAACACGCGAGCCCTTTGGGTATATCCTTAAAATGTTCCTCTGGGTGAACCTGGAAAATTTGTACAAAGAATCAAATCGAAACCATAATGAATTTTTTTCTGCTAAAGTTAAAAAGTTAGAACGTCAGAAATCTGTATTCGCAATTGGATGTATGAAATTATAAATAAGATTCAAATGTTGGAAACTAAGGACTAGACAGTTTCAGGTGAGAAGGAAATAAACTACAAAATGAGGACTCCCCAGGTTTCCTTTAACATATTGCGAATCTCTCACATTTTACAGTTTATATTTGTTACGTGTCGTGGCATTTGAGCATTGGGAGTATGATATTCAAATGGACCATGGAGAATCATATTCAAATGGGATCATCGTCACACGACAAAATGATGACCCCTTAACGACCCCAATGATGGTTTCCCCCCTCTCTTCATCACCATCAATTTTGTTTGACAACGTTTATTACAATGGACAATGGTTTTCCATAGTCCACTGAAAATATAGTATACATTACCTAGAACACTAGGAAAACTTGCTTCCATTACTTTTAGAAAAACTTTGACCTGTGAAGAAACAATGAAATTTACCTGACAACATCAGCTGGATAGGATGCCGTAACTTTTTCTAGCTGGGGTTCACTCAGGCTAACACGTCGAACTTGATTAACTTCCTGTTTAAGGGCATCTTTGAGCTCTCCCTTGGCCTTTCCAGCCCTAATTGTGATGAGACGCTTGTATTCAGGCGCCGGCCCTCTCTCTAGACTTTGGCTCGATTTCAGGTCATCTTCATCCTCATCCTCTTCCGGATGGTTACTTTGGTCACTGTCGTTCTACGGGGCATAGGAAAGAGGTAAGAATGCATGAAGTGGAAACAGAAATCACCAGTTCAGATAGGATTCAGCAGGTAACAGGGCCGATTCCCTTACCAATTCCCTTACGAAATCTTACGAAATTCGGAATCGGCCGGTTTCTACGAATTGCCCGATTTTTACAAATTGCTCGGTTTTAGAGGAAGCAAGTGATTATGTCAAGGTTGGGCGAATCCGCAATTCTCTTGGTTACCTTTTTTTTTTTTTCCTTTAGTCTAGCTTTTTGGGAAAAATGACACCCAATGAGTTCTTTTTTCTCTCATTTCAACTATTTTTACTCAAATTTGAGGGATTATGTTTGTTTTTGAGTCCTCTCTCAGATCCATTTAAAATAGTTGCGGACAAGGTTCATTTACTTGGCTTGGGCTCAGAACATGGGTCCTGGCCAAGCTGAGTAACTTGGTGAGTCTGAGTGGACTCGCTCGAGTAGTGTACATACCCAAAAAAGGGCTAAAATTATAAAAAGAAAAATATCACAAAATTGTTAAAAAAAAAAGTGAAAAGAAAAGTAAACTATAAGCAACATTAAAAGTCCACATAAGATAAAAGAGTACATAAAAGATGGATTTAGAAAAATTGATTTATAGCTGGAAATAATTCAGAAAAATCCAAGAAAAGGGAAAAATATAAAAATAGGGCATATGAGAAGAAAAATTCACACATCATCATAAAAAATGTCAAAATTATACATAACATATTTATATATAGATTTTATAAAAGGATGTGGTTTCTATGCGGCCAGCCCGCATATTGTAGAAATGTGGCCTTGGCAATAAATATATTTTTAAAATATAAATTGATCCTAGGTTTTAGAGAATATATAATCTTTAACATGGAGATCATGAATATGAAAAAAATAATAATAATTGAAAACTAGAAATATTAGTTATATTAAAAAAACATTTGGACCGTTAGTTACACTTGTTTTTAGATGGACCACCTATTTGCATCCATCTTTAAGATTGGATGGTTTATACCTTTGGACCGCATATTGTAGGAATGCGGTCCAGCCCGCATGAAACAATTTTCCTTTATAAAAATAACTTCTATATTTTTTAATAAATTTTTTATTTTACCCAAGTTTGTACACAACTAACTCAACTTGGCAAGAGGTTGAGTCTGTGTAACACGACCGAGTCTGAAGGGGCTTGGCCGAGTTTCAAAAACCTTGTTTGTAGATCAAAACTCAATTTATGAAACCAAAGATCGCATTTTCGGAGCTTTTTATTTCAAATTTGGGATCCACCTATTCTTTGATTTCTCAAGCGTCTCACACCCATTTTCAGTAAAATTTGCATTGAATTATTCATTTTTCATCCCTCTATCAGATACGCCACTTTATTGTTCGAATGAAAATGGTTTTTGCATGATATTTAGAGATTGAAAATTGGGCATTTTTTTTAGAAAAAAAAAAAAATTGTTTTTTTTTAAAAAAAAGGTTAAAAACTTTAAGTTAGCTAAGGTTTTTGTACTGAAAAGAAAAATAGAAAATCAGTGAATTGTTTCAGTTTATCCAGATAGGGAATTGTTGACTGGTCCAGCCAATGGCCTGCTCTATTGGCTGATCAATATGTTTAAACCCTGGTTTCAAATGCCAGTTGTTAAATAGACAGCACTACATCTCCACCTTCCAGCTCCATGATAGATGCTGGAGATGAACTCTTCTTCTACCAGATGTCTGCCATTGTTCCATCATGCAAAAGTATGGTTCATCTCCATAGTCCATCATTATAACAGATTCTGGAGATAATCTCATACTAAACACCATGCATAGTATACTTTCCCTGGGTTTTAAATTTGTAAAATATAACCAATGAGTTTATTGTTGGTTCACCTTATCATCAGGTTCACGCGTCATGCTAAGGTTTGCGATCTCTTTCCCCCATGCTGCTTCTTCATTGGAATGCATTTCCTTTTTTGATACATTACCTTCTCCATTCATGTTCTTGGATTCTAAGAATTCTTTTGGCGGTTTGGTTGATAGGATTACCCGTCCCGTCAATGAATCAGGTGAAGGAAACTCCTCTAAAGATTCTGACTCTGGGTAAAATAGTATGTCACTGAAGGTTTCATGGACCATCTACACCAAGTAATTTAAGGATCAGGCAAAGGGAAAAGAAGCATAGCTGGTATTTTGTTGATTAATAGAGCACATAAGAAATTTACCTGTGCAACTTTACACTGCAGTTCCCGAGTCAGGTGATCTTCAAGAGTTATTATCACAGGACATTGAGATACAGAAAATGCATGTTCCTTAATGGATTTCAAACATTTGATGAGCTCTACTGGAGTGGTCAATGTCCTGTGTTTACAAAGAAAGTTTAATCCCTTCAAATTAAACGGCAAACAATTTGTGAGATTCACTAACAATCACATGCAGAATCATGACTTCGCATTGATAGAAGAATATGGCATAAGAAAAAAAAGTCCATATGAAGAAAAACTGTTCATTATGAATGGATACAGAGATATTTAGATGTTGACACAAATAACCATATGTACTAAGCATTAGTATATTAATGTAATGACTTCCATGAAATTTGAACGAATGACACAAAGTTGTGTACATTTGCGAGCTTTAATAAAATCAGTTACCCATATAAAAAGGACATTTGCTAAGAGAGAAAATGCAACAACAAATATCAGAGACAAGTAACTATAAGATATAGGAAAATGGTTTTCTAAACATTCCTTAAGGTACATTTCTTCTAGAACCACTTCGAATATTCAGACTACTCACTGATTCTCGAAAAGGAACTGCTTCTGACATAGTTTTACTGGCAATTTCCAGCCAACGGATTTGGTTGATTTTATTTTCTCTCACATCAGTAGTTCCTACAAGCATATGTCTAGGATGCTGCCGCTGCGGCTACTGTATCACAGTTCCATAGTTTAGTAGTGGAATCAAAATGGGAAACACGCCTGTGCATCCAAGGAACATGATCCCATTTTGAGAACATGTTCCCACTCTCCTGGGGAACTCATTTCCCTCATGCTGGAGAAGAGCCATGCTCTCTCTTTTAGCAACCCCCACTATGGATTTACAACCTCATAAAGGGTGGTCGTATGGGTGCCGGAAGCAAAGGGGGCATACCCCATTACAGGGCTTGCACCCACTTTTGAGAGATTGGTATTGAGCCCTGCTCTCCTCTTGCAAGCTACAGTACAACGCCTGCAGCCGGATGGTATGGGAAGCCACGCCGCCCTTAATGTAGAATGCAGCACGCTTCATTAGGGAGCTTGCCATTGACCTAGTGGATGGTAGAGACCTTCTCTCTCCTCTTGCAGGCCCATAAATGACTCTGCATCATTACTTATATATCATATGTGGATTAATGTTTTTGCATACACAGTGTTACTCATAAAGGATATACCCATAAACGTTTGTGTGTGCGAGTGTGTGTGTGTGTGAGTGAGTATGCGTGTGTGTGTGTGTGAGTGAGTATGCGTGTGTGTGTGTGTGTTTGTGTGTGTGGTGGACATATGACATTCCTCAGCTAGCAATCCTTTCCTGCTCCATCTCCCAAGTGTTTCTGTTCACATCTATTTTGTATAGGGCTAGTCTCCATTTTTGTACCACATACACCTCAGCTTCGTGCCTCCCCCATGAACCAATTTTGTTACAGGGTCTAAACCATTTAAAATTCTCTCTTTGAGAATTACAATGTGTTTAAATTTTCCTAGATCACTAGGCACAAGACCATGAATCACATGTCTCAATACTCGTTAGTTTATTTAGAATCAAATTATAATCGAGCATTGGTTGTATGAAGATTGAAAACATAGAGAAGGTTGAGTTTGAAATGAGACTCAATTCAGATAATTGATAGGACCAATGGAAAAGATTGAAAACATAGAGATGGTTGAGTTTGAATTGAGACTCAATATTGGAAATTTTCAGATAATTGATAGGAAGCTTGTGACCAATGGAGAAGTCTTAAGGCACAAAGCAAAAGGAAGAAGCAGAGAATTTGTTATGGAATTGAAAGCTGTGCTTCATTTTTGAAGAAGGTGAAACTAGAAGGAAGGGTTATAAAAGCTTCCTACTACCATAATCATACAATACAAGATTCATCTTGCTAAAAGAGAAATGCAAATGAATCAAGAAAGAGCAGGGAGTTCAATTGAAAATTCAAATCCAATGCCATTGGAGAAGACAGAGGAATATTCACTATGAAGAGAAAGCGACATCTCAGAATAAAAAATGCTCCATGCTCCAAGATACTCCAATTTTATCAACCAAATCTCCATATCCAATCCAAAAAAAGGCAGAACAAAAGCTCCAGCCTGCATTTCATGCAAAAACACCAGAAAAAACCTTCAGCTTTCAATCTACTCCAAATTTATTCATTAAAGCTCAAATTTCATGCTTCAAAAGTATGAACAAAGCTCCATTCTCCCGGTTCCCTTAAAAACTCCAATTTTGTGAATGAGAAAACAGAAACTACAAAGAAAAACTCAATCATAAACTTGTTCAGCCCCTATTCACTTGTAATAAGTCCCCTTTCGCCTCAATTCTCTGCAGTAACCAAGCTTAGTGATCCATCTGATTCCACACTTTGTTGAAATTTCATGAACTCGGAGAAAGCCCCTTTAAATCAGAGGCTCATCGAAAACAGAGTTAATGAAAAATTGCATTAAGGAGCTCCATCAGGGCTTCTCTCTCTAATCAAATAGATCACCTATTAGCATACAAAAAGACCCTAATTTTCTTTTCTAATAAACCCAAGATTTTGGGTGAGAACAGAGAGGCAAATTATTGTTGACCTTTTCTCTAAACAATTTTTTTAATAAAAAGGTTAAAGTGGTAAACAAGTCATTCACCTCCCCAATTGACTGTACAGTAAGGGTGTCCTTAGCACCAAAGTGTAAAGGGGAGGTTTGGAATGACCTGCTAATGCTTTGTTTAGTGTTAGGAAGTTTATAATAACGTGCATTTCAAGAATACCAAACTTCTAGTTTTATATAGTAACTGATTTCTATCTCAATCCTCAGAACATCTATTACCTAAAACATATATAGATAAACTTCTATGTAAAAGCAATTTTAAAAACGTTGTAAGAATTTCTAAACTTTTCCGCAAATTTTCTTTTGTTTTAAATATTGTTATTTTTATGCATACAGGGCAAAACTAAATGAACAAAATTTCCAAGCTCATAGTAACAATTACTCAGTTTCGCTGCTACAAATGCAATCCTACATTCTGGCTGAAACTTGTAATCTCATACGGGTGTTAGGAAAGCAGACTGATGTTAATAACAGCAGCTACCCTGGACCGATCCGAAGGCAACAAATTTATTCCAAACCCCTTGCAGATTTTCTTGCTGACCAGAAATTTATTCTGGAGAAACTAAAAAGGCAAGTGACCAACAAATGACAAACTTTATACAACACAAGGGTTTTAGAAGAAGCAGAAAAAAAGTTTATTATTACCACAACAATTAGAAAAGAGAAAGATTATGACCATATTCTGTTCAGTTTCGGAGTTTACGATTCAAAAGATATGCATTGAATTGAATCACTGGCATTAAGTTAAACTTTACATAAGAATTCCTTATTCTTAAACCAATCACATGACCATTTAACTTAGTACAGCATTCGCTCTATCACCTAGCATTCCATTTTGGCCAATAATGACTTCAAGAGTAGATTAGTGATGGTAAAATGCAAAACAATGATGATAATAGTTTGATATATGGCATCTAGGGGCTTCAGAATCATACTTCTGTACCTTCCATGAAGAACATGCACATCATCTTTGGTAGAATTTGGCCAGATATCCAGTTCAATAACTCTAACACCTCTTCCCAGGGCTTTTATAATTGGTACATCACTGCAGTCACTACTGAGTTGATTTCCTGTTAAATAGGAGTTATGACCTGTGTATATGTAATAGTGGGACAATGGAGCGGTCATGTCATGGTGAATCTGGCAAAGAAAAATGCCGAAAATATTAAACAGGGGGTATCCATTGATCAATATATCGTGCAAAAAACAAATGTATTCACAGGAAGACAACATTGAAAGGCTATTTATTTATTAAATTGCCCAATGAAAGAAAAATCATGTTCATAGTTATGAAAATCCTTATGAATTATCATCAATTTATTTCTCAAGCTATGCAAGCATGTAAAACTACCTAATGGGAACAACCAACAGCATGCCCTGCGGTACTCATCCATGTTAAATGAGAAAACATAGAACGCAAAGAATGAGCTTCTGCATGACCTATTGTAGATTCCAGCCTATGACTGTTCAATCAACGCACTGGAGAGAGAATAGGACCCACACGTACACGACATGATCCAAGTGGCAGGGTCCACTCTCTCCCTAGCACAGTCCATCCATTTGTTTGACAGTGTTGGCATGGGAAAAATAATAGAGTAGGTAGAATCCCTGTTCCACTGAGTCATTCCTCTTACAGGGCAGAGTGGTAAAATGATTAGTATCAAATAAGACGATAGAAATTCTTTTGGATGTTATTGTGGCCCTATATCTCTAAGCTTACCCATTTTGAAATGTCCCCAAGCTCCCTCGGTTGCTACGATAGTGACCTCATAAATGTTTGAATTGCATCTCTATGCTTTTGTCTTACTTAGTTGCAGAACTGTAGATGTACTCATGTACACATGTTCCCTAAGACTCTAATCGAACTCCTGCCCACAACTTTACAAAACTATGGAGGACAGCATCATTTGGCCCTTCGATACTGAAAAAAAAATTATGTCTCATTTAAGTAAGTGTCCATATGGTGGAAGGTAATCAGATATTTTGATAAAAAAGAGTCAATTAGAAAGGAGGAATGTCATCAATTGGGGAGCAACAATACACTTTAGGATTACAAAGCTCCAAGTCTATGTAAAACTACCAAAATAGTAATAACTTGTGCACTTGTCATGTTCAGAAAAGAATGATGAAGAAACCACGCATTGGCGTTTTTCTTTCATTTGTAAGGCAAGCAGGTAGGAATTGAATCTTCACCTAATCATTGAGAAAGAAACGGCACTACCAAACTACAGTGCCCAGAACTGAGCCTTTATGCCTCTTGTAAACATGTTAAATGTTGAATGTAACTGAAGCAAAAGAAAGAGATTATAAAAATTAATTGGGCTTAAAGAAATGGTATAAATGAAGAAAGAGATTGTAAGCATTTGTTGCATCTTTATGTTTCCATAACCAAACTCAATCCAGAATCCATGTTAAATTAAACTTTCAATAGATTTTTTTATTTGAAGTGGGAGATAAAACAGTATCATGTGCAAATTGAAAAAATGAATAAACCAGTATATAATCAGTCAAAGTCTCGAAGTACAATTTCTGATACGTTGATAAAAAAATCACAATGACAATGATCCCACAACCTACAATTGAAAATTAAGCTGTAATCTAAGATTATCCCATATAACCCAGTTTCAAAATACACCACACCTACCATACAAAGAGAAAGGTAAAGCAACAAAAATAGCATTTCTCCATTACTGTAGCCAACCTAAAAAAGCAAGCTAGGGATACTGAAACGTTGAAAATCGAATTTAAAGAGAAAAAAACATAAATAAAAATTCCATATTCATACATATGGATGAATAGCGATTATCCATCCGCAAGGCTACGCAAAAAACACATGCTAGGCTCACTTTAAAAGCATTCAGAAATGGAAAAGTAACATCATAACGGGCTCTCAGCTTATCCACCCAGAAGTATTATCAGAAACAGCAATTAACCAAGAAATAAAAATTATAGTTTCTAAATAAAATTAGTTATAGCTTGAAAGAGAGAGAGAAAGAGAGGCAACAGAGGAACTTTTACTGGTTTTCCAATGTTATCGAGAGAGAACATTAAGGGAATAGATAGCGATGAAATTTCATCGATCCATTCGATCTGTCCATTTTCAGAGAGAGAGAGAGAGAGAGAGAGAGAGAGAGAGAGAGAGAGATAGTATAGAACATACTATTTACTTACTTTCTACTATTCGTTATAGTATAGACGAGGACGAGTAGGTTACTAATTTACGAAGGTAGTAGTATTGTACTTACTTTCTTA